TGAGACTACGAATGATTCATTAATGATAACAGACGAGGCATGCTCTTTCTGTCCAAGTTTGCCAATTCATAGGTTCCTAGCCTGATCATGACTTGATTCTTAATATTTAGCATATAACCTGTCTAAGAACCAAGCTCCCCTCTTTGAAACGCTACACACATACTTTGAATTATAATATCGAGCAACTTAGTTTTTGTATTTAGCACATGAAGATCTGTTGTTTCTCGATGTTCACATTCGAGTTTAACTGTTCAACCATAGATGACCGTCTCAGACTCCAAATGACAGTGAACACATAGTTTGATTGTTCGAAGTGCACGATATCGTTCCATAGGCTTAGAGAACATTGGTCACAGGGGTTACAAACTTATTGCATCGTTCAACATAGTGGGCCAATAGTACCCTTGTCATAGTCATAGTACCTTTAGACCAATGATCGGCCTCCAGAATGATGGCCACACATTCCCTCATAGAGTTATCACATGACATATTAAGCTTCATTAGGGGTCAGGCATTTGAGGAAAGGAAGAGAATAACTCATCATCTTCTATAACTTTTCATCCTATCAGACATACCTTACAGCTCTATACCTTGACCATTGTGCCTCGTCAGGTGGAAGATCGCCACTTGCCTAGTTACGTGAATTTCTGCTGTCTCAGTTACAAAACCTGCTACAGCTTGACCTTTCATGGCCATGCATGGTCTCCCCGATCGAGTCGTAGCCATCACAAATGTGGATTGAATATGGGTCGTGTAATAGTTCAAGTCCAACGCTAACAGATATTGTCCTCTTAAGATTTTTAACACGTGTCTTATAAGGGTTGGGGAGGGAAACAAAGTGTCTTGTATAAAGGTTGGAGAGGGGAATGGAGCATCTCCTTATAAGGGTGTGGAAACCTCTCCCTAGCAGACACGTCTTAAAACTCTGAGGTTAACGACTATACATGACGGGTCAAAGTGGACAATATCGGCTAGCGGTGAGTTTGAGTTGTTACATGTCAACTACAACAGGCTTCGACCTCCTTTATCTCATTTTTGAGCTCCAAATCTCTATGATTCTCCGACTTAGTCCAACTAGCTAGATTCAAAGACACCAACAATAATAAAGTTCAAAACTCATAATCAAATTTTTTTATACGAATTGTATAATCTCCCTCTCTTCCTACCTAGTATGTTAATTTCCTTGTAATTTTAAAATTATCTAGAGTTTCAAATGAATTATCTTGTTCAGAACTTTTGGTTATGATATGGTTTGAGAATATCAGATACCCTAGTAACTATCAGATACAAAGTCGAGATTTTAGAGCCGTTACACAACTCAAAATTTAGTTCTGATCTAGCTATATATATTATCATAAAATGCAAACATTATGCATTTAGATCAGACATATATCAATCAATGAATCAATGAATCAATAGACTAAACAAACAGCAATGAATGAACACAAAAAAATGCAATCAACACAGCTAAGGGTTTCAGTTTTTGAGCTATTAGTTCCTGATCGAATACCTCATGCTTCACCATCCTCTGGAGGCAGCTCGTTGAGATCAAAGCGGAGTAGCTTAGCTTCTTGTGGTCCATTTTTTCTAGGTTTGCAGGGGCAGCTAGACTTGTGGCCTCCCAATGCCTGTGGAGACGCAAACGCTTTGCCGCAGAAATCGCACGGATATTCGTTCCTCAAAAGCGCGTCCGTGTTCTCTTTCCCAGTGTCAGTGGCATCAACAACACCAGAAGAAGCAGAGCTGCTGGAGCCAATAGGCCTCCGTCCTCTACAGGCGGTGGTAGACCAGGTTAATAACGGACTATAACAATCCCGATCGCGAACCTCATGATCAACGCCGCCAGAAGAGGAGGAGGACGAGAAGCTTCCGGTAGCAGCAACAGCGGCGGCGGCGGCGGCGGCGGCGGAAACTGGCGGATTCATTCCCCTCCAATTCCGCTCAGGATGAGACCTCATGTGACCATGCAACGCCTTCTCCGATCTGAACTCGCTCCCGCAGAAGCCGCATTTGAATCTGTTCTTACGATCACTGCCATCACAGTCGCCGTCACCGTCCGCTGCTTTCCGCTTTCCCATCGTACCTACTCCAAAACCTTCCCGGAGCTAACAGAAGGAGTGGTGTGAGAAGAAATTGAAGAAGAATCGCTGACTGAATCGAGATTTATGGAAGCTTGTTTTTGTCTATTAAAGGTGGGAGCTTAACAAAGGATACAAATCTCACATTTATATTTTGATTTCCTTAGCTGTTCACGTAACCAAATTACATTTCAACCCCAATATTTGGAAAGTCATCAAATATATATATTTTTAAATTTATTTAATTCTTTTTTATATCTTAAAAGATTTGAAATGTTGACCCGCCAATTAGGATCGGAGCTATTAACCTAAATATCGGGTTTATTTAATATCATACCCATTTCAAACTAATTTGAACTTTAAATAATATAGTTGATATCTTAAATTAGGGTCGGAAATATTAGAAAGTATAGTTTTTTTTAGCTCAACAAGGGACGTATTCAAATCTTATAAGGGTAGTATTGACCAAAATAAATTATTTTGAGCTTCCGAGCCTATTTAATATAATAGACTATGCGGTATATATATATATATTTTAAAGTATAATTATCTTGGGTTAGTTTTTTTTAATAAAGCTAAATTAATATAGCTAAAATCAAATTAAAAAAATAAAAAGATTGAGAATAATTCAACCTTTATACTCTAAATTTTATTTTAAAATTTGGTATATATTATTTTAACTGAGATATAAATTATTAATTTCTAATTTAATATTTGAAAAAAAAAATATTTGATTTGAATCATTAATTTTGGAGTATAATCAATATTTTAATTTTGGGTTAGTTTTTTTTTAATAAAGCAGCTAAAATCAAATTAAAAAAATAAAAAAAAATAAAAAATTGAGAATAATTCAATTTTTATACTCTAAATTTTGTATAATTTTCTTTTTTTAATATATTTTTTAAAAAAATTTTAAAAGAATTGTCTTATTAGATTTAGTTAATGGTAATGGACGCTGTTTGATTTGTATAAATAGAAAAACCATTGTCTATTTATCTGCGGACCGTTTATCTCAAAATATGGTAGAAATGAATATAAACGGAACTAAACTAATTGGTGCATATGAAGTTGATACCAGTTTCGAGACTAAACTAATTGGGGAATATGAAGTTGATACCACTCTCGAAAGTGGTGTGGGATTACGAAAGTAATATGAGCTTGACAGGTTTTGTATGTATAAAAGTGGTGCACATAAAATTATTTGTATGAAAGTGGTATTCCTTTTGAACTTAATAAAATAACAGACTGAAGGGCGGGATGGTTTTAGGTCCTACCAGAAATGAACAATATGATTCGGTTCATTTAACCGATTCTTAAAAAAACCCTACCCAACTAATGATATATATAAACCCGGAAAAGAAACTCTTAATCCTTTTCGATTTAACTGATTCTTGTTCATCCGATGATGCCAATCGCATGCTACCGAAAACCCTACTACACTCAAGCTTACGAAATTGTGCCGCCCCCTCGACGATCAAAGTTGCTTATTTCTTATTTATTTTATTTTTACTAGACTAATAAAAATACTTCTAAATTTTGTAATCTATCTCACTTTTTTAACCCTATAAAATTTTACTTTTAACTCTATAAAATTTTAGATAATTAATATTTTATTTTTAATATGATCTTAAATTTTTAATATTATTTCAAAATACCTTTGTCAAGTTTTATTAATAAAAAAATGGTTCGACATCACATTTGGAAGAAGGAAAGTTAAGAACTTCGTATAGTGCTTGGGTTGTTACAAGATGGTTTACTTGTTTTCCCGGTCCATCCTTTCTAATGTATATTATATTTTCTCGTGTTGAAAACAAGAACGATCGTTCAAAAGTTCGTCGTCACTGTGCAACTTTTGCTATGTTAGAACCATGAAATCAGCTTCGGTTCGGTGATATGGATATGTTTTTTTGGTTAGTGTACTAAGATGGGTTCACCTCAGCTTAGTCCTCTCATGATACTCCTCCAACATTCATATGCATACGCATGCGACGTATTGAAAACTCAACACCCGTTTTCGTTTCAAGCTCTTATCTAAAAAACCACCCTCGAAATGTCGACATTTGTTGAGTGCCGATACGAGAATATCTCTTCCTCATTTTGGTTCAATAATTTGTGTTAAATAGTTCTCATAATAAGCAAATAGTTTGTTTAAATTTCAAATGTACATTTCCGAAAATGTATTCCACTAAATTTAAATTTTGTTTCTTTAACGAATAAGTTCATCTGGATTGGTTTACAAAGTGATGCTGCAATTTGAATTGAGACTTTCTCCTATGGATAACCTTCTAGTTGATGTCTGTAACTTTTAATAGTATGAAAACAATTATAAATTAAACATTAGAGAATGATAAATGTGGTGAAAAGAAGGCGAGCTAGATTTTGATTTTGGAAAACTGTGAAATCATTTGAAATTGATTTTTGAAGTATTAGTCGGTACGGGATTTGGTTGGAATGATAGGCTGAGAATGGGGAAGTACCAACATTTTAGATAAGATCGTGTGCAGAATCGTAGAGAGAATACTAAATTGTTTCAAACACGGGTAGAATTAGAAGCACCTTGTATCACAATCACAATCGGGACGTTTGCAAGTGATTGTGTGACACTCACTCTCACCATCGAGTGAGTCAGCCAACTTGAAATCGTGTTACCTTCTGCTTAATGACGTATACCCAAGCCTCTGGCCCTACCGTTGAGGAGAAAATTTTAGAAAACCGAAGTGGAGAGAGATTTTAGAAGGAATAATTGACGACTAGTCTGCATCATCCGCTAAAATACATTTCGAGGTAATTCATATAAAATAATACATAATACAAAATAAAATAAAAATGTAAGATGGAGAAATTTGGGAGTCTACATGGTGTAGAAGAACACGTGTCTAGGTTAATTGTCCTTTACGTTTCCTTTCCAGCGTTTTCATCTTTTTTTTTTTAATTATTATTCTTTTTATTATACTCTTCCGATCATCTTCCCCCTCTCCAATTTCTCTCTAATCTCTAATTTCTATGGCGATGCCTTCTCGGGAAGCAATTGATACTTTCATCGGCGTCACCGGAGCCTCCGAAGCGATCGCCGTTCAAAAGCTCGAGGTTTTTTTTTTCTTTTTCTTTTTCCGATGCCCCATTTATTTCTTGCAATCGGGTTGGTCTCTCTTGGTTCTTCGAGGGAAGGTGCTGATTTTGCCTCAGCTTAGATGTTTGTTATGCTGGTGCTAGACTGTTGATGTCGATTTTAGGACCTTTAGGTTTAGGTTATTGCTTCTGAAGCTGATTTTGTGGTTGGTTAATGGGAGTGTTTACTATACTTCTTTTTGCTGGACTTTGATTTTAGGGTTTTTATTTTTGGGGTTAAATTTCTGCTATGAATATGTGGGTGGGGAATTTCTAGTTAAATTTGGAATGTTTTGGTTTCTTAGTTATTTGCTGGCAATTCGTTGTGTGCATTTTGTTGGCGCAGGTGATAGTGAAGATTAGGAGAATACAAATGTTTTGCATTGATGACGAAATGGAATTCTTTTCTGGTCGTAACAATTGCTTCAATCAATTTGTTTTTCTGGTGTTACATTTAGGCACATGGTGATGATCTCAATGCTGCTGTGAATGCATATTTCAATGAAGGAGATAGAAGTTCGTCCGTAAAGTATGCTACTAGTTCCGTATCACTCCATGATTCCCCCCCCCCCCCCCCCCCCCCC